TTTTGTGTGTATTATATTCTGCTTGTCTGAATGTGTGTATCTGTGCATATAGATGTGTGTATGTTAAAATCTAAAAAACAAATAGATGTGTGTATGTTAATCCCAAAGAACAAATTCAATTCCACCAAGTGCGCTTTAGATACAGATGATGTCAACGCTAATTTTGAAAATAATATGCAACTTTACATTTTCTAAATTTTATGTTGAGGGAGTTAAAAGATTATGTTAGAAAATGGAAACAAGATTGTTCTGCCATAGATTTTACTTTTTTTATTTTTAATTAAAACAATAAATCAAAATTTTTTAACATATTGTACACATTGATCATTTTAAACATGCGGATTACTATAAAGAAATTTTCACAGCATAACTGTGATTTTTTGCTAAGAGATACTAATTAGTAACAAAATTTACTTAACATAACTTTATCACCTTTGTACGTACTGGTGTTTTGAATTTGTGTTGAAAATACTAAGAAATGTGAGCGGATATAGAAGACAAGGGATTTTTGTGCAGCTGCATAGAATATAATTCACGATCCATTTCTGAGGGTGTGGAACATATCTCTAACATCTCGTGCTTTTTATCATGCGGTTTTTCTAATGTTTGAATTATCAAGCGTATCTGGATATCACACACACACATATTATAATGTAACAGTTAATAATTTCTCTGCATTTTATTTGTATTGGACGCTGATAAAGGCTCAAAGAAAGAGCCGAAACGTACGTCGTATCTCATTTTTGTAATTTGTATTTTAACACTGTAATAAATTGGATTAATTTAAAAAAAATATATATATCATGCTTCATTATCTGCGCTAAAGCTCTTATAGCCAATTACACTTTAATGATCTTTTGTTTTAATTTAGTAGAGCTATTTTAGAGTGACAGAATCGTCATCTCGGTTGCTAGTTATTGACTGTAACGCAGGCTGGAAAATGCTCCCCCCCCTCGTTTTTTATCAATATTAAACAACAATATGGTTGTACAGCAGTTAACTTATTTAAGGCATGGATTAAATTTCAAAAGTGCGTATATACATGATGTTAGATATGCGTGAGATTATTATATTTGCGCGCTTAAAGTAATACGCGCACGCGTGTAGGCTCAGCGAATAAGTTCACGACACGTGCGTGACGATAGCGATGCCGAGAAGACAAGGAAGAGCCCTCAGGAGGGAGCTCGAAGGTGGGAGATATATCGGAGCAGTCGAGCGACACACACACGCGAAAAATACTGTACCCGTTTAACGGACTTTCTGTTTAAAGTAAATCTATTTTCAATTTACTGAATATTGTTATTTGGTGATCCTCACATACACAACAATCTTGGCGACGACAATGGGATTATTCTAATCTCGCGTACGTAGAAAGATTTATTTGTGCAAGACGTATATTCGTCGCTGCGGCGGATTCGACTGATCGGTGTGTGATCGCCACGTGCTCCGGGCTACAACGGCTCGTGCTACGAGTCGTGATACGAGGATAACGGCGACGCTGCCATACAAGGACGTAAGTCAAAAAAAATCCAAATTGTGGAGCGAAGATTTTAAAACCGCTTAGGGGCAGATCATGGCACAGGCTACCATACCCGGGTCTCTTGCAATCGAAGCATTTGACTCGGCGAATACGACGTGGAAAAGATGGCTGCAACGCCTTCAAGGAGCCTTTATGATTTTCGGAATCAAGGACCAGGCTAGGGTCCCGTATTTGCTGCATTACGTGGGGCCCACGGCATTTGACATGCTAAGTGATCGACTTGATCCGGTCGATCCTTTCACTGGTCGATACGACGACTTAGTGAGATGTCTACAAGAATATTACGCGCCGGCGCCGCTGGAAATCGCAGAGAATTTTACTTTCCACCAGCGGAAACAGCAAGAGGATGAGTCTGTACAACAATACGTTGCCGCATTACGGAAACTTAGCATACATTGTAAGTTCGGCAACTACCTTAACACTGCACTACGGAATCAACTGGTTTTTGGACTGCGCAATAAAAAGGCTCAGAGTCGGCTGCTAGAAAAGACGGACCTGGACTTCGATGAGGCTGTCAGGACTGCGGTTACAATGGAACTCTCCGACAAGAGCTCAGCGCAGATGAAGGAAACGAGTGCGGAGGCAGCCGGCGTGGCGTATCTCAAGGCAGGGAAGAAACCTCCAAGAAAAAATGCAGGTGATAAACGGCCGAAGCAGGAGGTCACGAGATTCGAAAATTCGAGACAGGCGAGTAAAGAAAATAAACAGTACAAAAACACTAATGTAAAATGTTTTAGGTGCGGTAAAGGTCATTTGGCAAATAAATGTAATATAGACAGGAGCGTACGTTGTCATAGCTGTGGGAAACTGGGGCACTTACGTGTGGTCTGCTTCAAGAATACGTCCTCCACTAACAATTTAGAGGAAATGCTCAGTTTGGAGCATGCGAACTATCGCGACAAATTTCTGTTGTCAATGGAGATTGAAGGAAAAAAAGTCGAGTTCGAGTTAGACAGTGGAGCGGCGGTTACAGTAATGAGTGAGTCTGAAGCGATCAAACTTTTCCCAACAGCGACCATTCGTCATACAAATTTGCGTTTAATTTCATTTTGCGGGCGCGCGCTTAAATGTAAAGGATATATTACAGTCAGAGCTAAGTACAATAATTCAATTGTAAACGATTTGAATATTTATTTAATAGGCGGAGTCAGAAAGCCATTATTAGGACGCGAATGGATTAGGCAATTTAATGGGCACGTTTTTTTAGCCTGTAATGCTCAAGTAAATACAGTAACAGTAGACGCAAAAAGTAAGCTACAAGCAATATTAGAGAAGTATCGAAATATTCGCTCTTCAGAATTTGCTTCAATTAAGGACATACAAGTACACTTAAAGCTAAAAAAAGACGCGTCCCCGATTTTCGTGCGAGCTCGATCAGTTCCTTTTAAATTACAAATGTTGGTTGAAAAGGAGCTAGACACATTAGAACAAGCGGGTATTATTGAGAAAGTAGAGTCATCTAAGTGGGCTACGCCCATCGTGCCAATTTTGAAAAAGGATGGAAAAATTCGTATTTGCGGTGACTACAAAGCTACGCTAAATCGGCATTTAATAGTTGATGAGTATCCTTTTCCTGCAGTTGACGAGCTATTTATGAAACTTGCCAATGGAAAAAAATTTTCAAAAATCGACTTGAAACAAGCGTACTTACAACTAGAAATAGCACCCGAGGATCGCGAGTTGCTAACGATCAGTACAAGTAAGGGACTTTACAAAGTAAATCGTATGATGTACGGAATTGCGCCCGGTCCGACAATATGGCAACGCGAAATAGAAAACATTTTACAAGGAATACCGGGCGTGGCAATTTTCTTCGATGATATTGTAATTACGGGCAGTATAGATACGGAGCATTTAACACGACTTGAGGAAATATTAAGTAGATTACACAAGTTCAATGTTCGAATAAATTTAGAGAAATCGAAATTCTTTTTAGATAAAGTTGATTATTGCGGTTACGTAGTCGATAGGGTAGGCGTTCATAAGGATAATCGAAAAATCGAAGCAATACAGAATATGCCACGGCCTAAAGATGTATCAGAAATACGGGCTTTTACAGGCATGATAAATTATTACGGTAGATTTATACAAAATTTAAGTTCTATTTTACATCCTTTAAATAAATTATTGCAAAAAGAGGTACGTTTTGTATGGTCTAAAGAATGCGAAACGGCATTCAACAAGGCTAAAGCGGCGTTTACAAGTAAACAAATGCTGGTTCATTTTAACCCGAAATTACCGTTGGTTTTAGCAACCGACGCGAGCTCGTACGGAGTCGGAGCCGTGTTGTCACACCGATATCCGATGGATCTGAGAAGGTTATTCAATTCGCGTCACAAACATTTTCAAAAGTACAATCAAAATACTCCCAAATCGACAAGGAGGCATTTGCAATTATTTTTGGTGTTAAAAAGTTTGTTCAATTTCTATACGGAAACAAGTTCACGTTAATAACAGACCATAGACCGCTTGTACAAATTTTCTCGCCTTCTCAGAGTCTGCCTATATATTCAGCGATGCGTATGCAACACTATGCTATTTTTCTACAAGGATATAATTACGAAATTGAGTACCGAAAATCTGAGAGGCATGCGAATGCGGATTGCTTATCCAGACTTCCCGTGGACGCGCCACAAACGGTAGCGGATACGGTAGATGCGTATCAATTGGAAGTAATCGAAACCTTACCTGTAACGGCGAGTAGAATAGAGATAGAAACACGAAAGGATAAAACAATAAGAGAATTACTAGAAGCATTACAGACCGGGAAAGTAATACACAAATCAAAGCGTTTTAATATCGAGCAAAACGAGTTTAGTTTACAAAACAATGTAATTATGCGTAGATCGCGTGTCTACATTCCAAAAACGTTACAAGCTGAAGTATTAAAAGAATTGCATTTAGGACACTTTGGAGTAGTAAAAATGAAAGGGTTGGCTCGTAGCCATTGTTGGTGGCCAGCCATTGATAAAGACATAGAAAATTTGGTTCGAAATTGTGCAAACTGTAATAGTCATAAGAACAATCCTCCAAAGGTGGAAGTACATTTATGGGAAGCGCCATCAGCGCCAATGCAACGCGTACATGTTGATTTTGCGGGGCCATTTTTAGGAAAAATGTTCTTGCTCATGGTCGACGCTTTTTCAAAATGGCCCGAGGTACATATAGTCCAAGACATTACTGCAAAAACGACAATTGCAAAGTGTCGAGGAATGTTTGCAGCATACGGATTACCAAAGTAATAGTAACCGATAACGGTAGAACTTTTGTTTCTTCGGAATTTCAAAGATTTTTACAAATCAATGGAATTGAACATAAACGTACTTCACCCTTTAATCCTGCAACAAACGGTCAGGTAGAACGTTTTGTTCAAACGTTCAAACAAGCATTAAAGCGAATGAAGTGCGAAGCTAAAAATATTAATTTTGCATTAAACAAATTATTATTACAATATAGAACAATGCCGCATGCGTCAACTAACAAAACCCCAGCGGAAATGTTTCTAAATCGGAAAATATCCACTAGACTAGACCTAATGATTCCGCAAAACAGTAATTTAAATACTCATTATGATACTATAGAAAATGTAAAAACATTTGCTTGCGGAGAGAGAGTTGCGTGTCGGAATTATTCCGGGGGAGAAAAATGGAAGTTCGGTGTAGTATCGGCAAGAAAGGGGAAACTGCATTATACAATCCATTTAGACGATGGCCGCTCTTGGGAAAGACACGTAAATCAGATGCGCAAAATCGGAAAAGATACTCCTACAACCTGTTTAGAAAACGACCACTATTATTGGGATTCTGAACAGTCTCGGGAACCGGTACGCTCGAACAGTCCTGTAACGCTAGACACGGAGAATTCTCCGGAGGTGCTAGAAAAGGTTGCGCCAGTTTCCTCACAGACCAACCAAGATGTTAATAGGGAAACTATATTAGAAACTCAGCGTCGCTCTGCTAGAACTAAGAGACGCCCAGATTTCTTTTCCGAGCGTACAGAGAAGTAGAAGCTTTCGATAACAAGAGAGGGTGTTAGATATGCGTGAGATTATTATATTTGCGCGCTTAAAGTAATACGCGCACGCGTGTAGGCTCAGCGAATAAGTTCACGACACGTGCGTGACGATAGCGATGCCGAGAAGACAAGGAAGAGCCCTCAGGAGGGAGCTCGAAGGTGGGAGATATATCGGAGCAGTCGAGCGACACACACGCGAAAAATATTGTACCCGTTTAACGGACTTTCTGTTTAAAGTAAATCTATTTTCAATTTACTGAATATTGTTATTTGGTGATCCTCACATACACAACACATGAGATTAAAGATTGTCTTTGTGCGTAAATGTATTAACTTGGATATTATTCTTTCACATTTAAATCTTCAGAAATTTGGAGATTAATTGGTCACATCGTAAGTCCATCAACAAATTGAACTATATAAAATTTCAATTTTTCAAAAAATTATTAAAGTTAGTACAGATATTGCAAATTTCTAGGAATCTATATAGTATTATTCCAAGTTACATTTGCATTCGTTTTTTTCTAGACAAACGGGACCATTATTTACCTATTATAACATTTAACAGAAAATATAGATTTTTACTGATTAAGAACATAAATAGAACAAACAACATCAAAACAATTCAATATCATTGTATTTTCAACAATAATGACAAAAACTTTAATTTTTATTTTAAAAAAACCGACTACACTTATAGGTGATAATGAATTGCTAACACATGTTAAATTAGACTCTATAATGTTTAAAGATGACAAACAATCCATTAAAGAAGATAAATAATACATGGTTCATCAACTTATCGTCCGTCTCTATTCCTCCTACAATTCAAAGTCTGTTACAATTAGGAGAAAAGTTTAATCTTCTGGTTACGGACAACGCTAAGTTAATAATAGAATTTATTAAAAGTATTGAAAATAATCTCAAAAATATTCCGCGTACAAATCAAATTGAAATAAAAAATCACACTACAGACATTATGAACAAGCTTCCATCTTATAAATCTTCAAAGAAAAAACTCGATGCACATATCCTTAACTCAGTTTCCTTTACGAAAAAATTTTTAAAAGAACATCCTAACATAATAATAACGCGAGCAGACAAAGGGAATGTTACGGTGGCTCTCGATAAAAATAAATATTATGAAAAAATGAATACGATACTTGATGATAAAATACAAATGTTGTTTGTAAAAAGAGTCCGATTAGTAAATTAACGAACAGCCTTTGTAACATTTTAACAAGATGGAAAAAGGAAGGATACATTTCGAGGTCTGCATATGCATATTTGTATTGTGGAGATGGGATATTACCGAGGGCCTTTTTTTTGCGATCGGCGCGGGAGGAGGGAAGCATTCCTTATTACTACCCCAGGTCGGCCCCGGGTTATGTGGGACTCAGGCTCCACCGGGTGATCATTACCGGCTTTATTTATTACCGTATACCATTACCGTGGGCATCGCCCACTACCCACTAAACCCTCCCCCCGAAACCAGAAAACAACCATGTGCACTTCTGTATTTGACTGGGGAAGCAAGAACTGTTGTTCACAATACCTTTGTTCCCCCAGTCCAGTTCATGGCTACATGCCATGCTGTCCTCTCTCCATCATTCGTTCATCCCTCTTTCATTCATCCAGTTTCTTCTTGCACTACATACACGAACGCAGACACACACTAGACAGCACTAACTGTCC